AATATAGATGTTTTCACTGAGAGTTGTTTATCTGAATCTCCTGGAATACAGAGCAACATAGGGTTGACACTGATGAATAATGAAAAAGGGAGGGCAAGGTTTGCATGTGCAATTGTAAAATAATACAGGTACACCTCATTTAACAGCCTCTGACAAAGAAGTTCTTTTTAAAAAGTCATTTTATGGGAACCCAGCCCAGCTCCCCTGGTTTCTTGACCTTTTTCCTAGCTGGAATTTGGGTTTTGTTTGGGATTGTTGTTGTGGGTTTTTTACAGTACTGAACTAGGAGGATGTGAAGGAGGGTGAAGAAAGACAGACTTTCAGTGCTGCGTTCCAGCAATGTGTGTGCAGTAAACAATGCCATAAAGCTTTACTTTAAAAAGAATGGGGTACTACTGTAGGTGATCCTCTTGTAACTGTGTGTGCTTATATACCACAGGCAAGGAAAACAGCTACCTCCACAATAATTTGCTCAACATGTTTGAAGAGCAAAACAGAAAGAAAAGGGGAAAGCAAATTAGCCTGCCTCACCAGGTACCCCAACATGTGGAAAAAGCACGTTTCGACACAAAAATGGACATCATAAGTAATGTGGAGGCTATTGAAAGGAAAAATAATAATCCTGTGATGCATTTTGGAAGAAACTTTCAAGTGGTCTCTAAAAGATTCAAAATATCTTTGTTTAGTTATATTGTGCAAGGCTTATCTGACCTGGTTGTTCCATTTCATATCTGCATAATGTTACTTTTGAATAAAAAGTTTGCAGAACATGTTGAATTTCTCTTCTTCTTTTCTGGTGTGGGAACCTATCCCTATCCTTTCCATGTTATTGCTGTGTCTGGTACCAAACCTTCTGTCAAAGAAGAAAAGCTCGGGAACACACCTACCTATATATGCAAATACAGAGATAATTAATACAATTTAAGTAAATTTAAGTAAAAATACGACACAACATACAGTAGTGCAGTGGTTGCTTATCTGCTCTGTCTCTGATTACCCAGAGTTTAGAAATTTTGCCAGGTGCCAAAATGTATGACTGCTTCTTTGCTTCTTTGAAAAGGCACACATCCTGAGCAATAGGTTATTATGCCAAAGGGGGCAATTGTGTATAGATTATGGCAAATTGAGATTATCGTAGCAAAAGATTGTCTCTTTATATCAAAATAATACCGTAGCCCCACCAAATCTCAGGTAACCTGTTTGTGCTGCAACATGTCCACAGTGCCGCCATCAGAATGACTTTTTCCTTCCATGGATGCAAGAAGGAAGTTTTGTTCTTAGCAAGGACTGAGCGGCTGCAGAGAGGTGAGATTTGTTCACAGTAGCAATCCTTTTTGGCTGGAGGTTGAGATGTAGCATTTAGTAAAGGGAAATATACAACTTCCTTCCAAAACCATGAGTGGTAGAGTGACCACCTGGAAAGCAGCACAGGACACATCAGTGGCAACCACTGAGGATGAATCCAGTGGTAGACAGGGAAAATATATTACTGAGCTGAATTAATGGTCTGTCAACAGCACCAGGATTGGGGGCAACTGAAGATGGTTATTTTTTTTAATGACACCTATCTGGAACCTGCTACGTCATCATTTTCTCCTTAAGAAAATGTTAGTCCTGGGACGCTATCACACGTGGGCCAGAAAGTGATAATAAAGTGGAAATGAGGCATTCCGAAAATAAACAGAAAATAAACCTTGATTCCGCAAATGGCTTTCACAGGTAATTACCTTAATTACGAAATTACAGTAAGCGCATTTAACGTTCACACACAAGCGAGAAAAGCCCGTAAATGTACTAGAAATGAGCTTCTTGCACATGTGCAGATAGAGGAATGCTCGCCATGGAACCATGGGAACAGCAGGGAAATGCTCCCAAATGCACATATGCTTTTCACATTACGGTAAATGCGAAATTACCTTAATTTCGCATTTGCATTTCCTCCAAACAACCGAATTTCAAAAGATCTCGGTTAACACAAGTTTCTGTCCAGTTTCTGTGAGACGTCGTGTGAAAACACGGGGTACTAATCCAGTTTCTGTTTGGGATTTGTGTGGATTAACCAGCAGATTTGCCCCCGTGTGATAACGTCCCTGGACCCCAACAACCCTTAGCTCTGGGACATATAAAGAAGAGAGTTCCTCTGGTCATAAATAGAGTGAATTTCCACAAAGTTGGACGAGCACCACACCTATGGGATTTCAAAGCAAGACTTCCAGTAGAGAAGTGCTTGTAGGTACTAGTCCAACTTTGTGGAAATTCACTCTTTTTATGATCAGAGGAACTCTCTTCTTTATATGTCCCAGAGCTAAGGGTTGTTGGGGTCCAGGACTAACATTTTCTTAAGGAGAAAATGATGAAGTAGCAAAAGATACAGCAGGTTTTGCACCGCAGGCTGTTGCCACTTAATTAGACGGCTCAATATGAGCTGTAAAATTCTCCCCTCTGAAGGCTGAAATCAAAGCAGCTTGTGCAACTCGCCTTTCACAGAAACACTGTTATGACTTGCCTGTTCTTTTTAATCAAGAACTTGGAGCCATTTCAGGCTTGCAACAGGGAAAGAAAACCTGAATGCAACACAGCTGGAGAGGGAGAAGTTGGGAGCCCTGAACGAACAGGAAAAAATAAAAATGAAACGTAAGAAAGGCATTTCCTGATGGACATAAGAGCCTCTCACCTGGGAATGGAGAGGGACTTTGCAGCAAGTGCTTCACCTGTATGACATGCAGCCAAAAGCCAAAGCACTGGAGCCCCATAACAGAAGAGCTTTAAGGGCTCCTTCTCCATTGGATTCAGGGCTTCCTGGTGGTGCTGGTGGGGGGCTTCACAGCAAAGAACAGGGGAAGGGGCCTTAATTCTTCCTGCCATTCTCATTCCCCACAAATACGTCTCACCATCAACACCACCACACACTTCCAGACCCATCACACTTCCAGACTGGAGCCCATGAGGTTTCAGACCAGCAGTAGAGATGCCAAAAAGCAACAAGACAGACTCTTTCCTAACCTGGGCCAGGTGCTCAGCTAGAGAATTTGCTGTCAAATGAAGTCCCTCTTCATGTGCTTAGGTGTACTGTTTCTTTTTCTTTTCTTTTTTAAAAAATTATTTATTTAAAATCTGCAATGTTACTTTTTCCCCCACCACATATATCTGAAGAAGTAGGTTCAGGTCTAGGAAAGCTCAGGCTCCCAACTTTGCAGACTGCCAGAAATAGTGCAAGTTGAGTCCACTTTAACTGTCCTGGCTCAGGGCTAATGAATCATGGGAACTGTCGTTTATTGTGGCACCAGAGCTCTCTGACAGAGAAGGCTCAATGTCCCAGAAAAAATACATTTCCCATGATTCCCTAGCACTGAACTGGGACAATTAAAGTGGCCTCAAGCGGCACTATTTCTGCAGTCTGTAAAAGCCCTCAGTGAGTCTCAAAAGGTGCTACCAGGTCCCCTTTGCATACTGATTTTTCAGACTCACACGGCTAGGTCTTTGAATATATATTTTTTCAGCTCCACAAACAACATTAAACCAACAACAACAAAAATGATTTTTTTTAAAGGCTTAGAATATGAGTTAATAAAAACAACAAGAAAAACATGTATTAGAGGATGCTTCGCAGGCGGTTCTGTTAGGGTAGTTATCTGGATGGCATGGCACAGTATGTTTGCGATTAGGATAAACATAACAGTTCACTGGAGGAGTCCATGGCTTCCTCCTGAGGAAATACTGCCTGAAGAAATCACCCCGAGTTTCTATTGCAACAAAGGTCTTCATCCTGGAGAGAAGTGACCAGTGGGGTGCCACAGGGCTCTGTCCTGGGCCTAGTGCTATTCAACATCTTTATCAATGATTTGGATGAAGGAATAGGGGGCATGCTTCTCAAATTTGCAGATGATACCAAATTAGGAGGAATAGCTAATACCCCAGAAGACAGGATAAAAATTCAAAAAAAACTTAATAGGTTAGAAAGCTGGACCAAAGCTAACAAAATGAATTTCACCATGGAGAAGTGGAAGGTATTGCACTTAGGGCAAAAAAAATGAAATGCACAGATATAGAATGGGGTATACCTGGCTTAACAAGACTGTATGTGAAAGGGATCTAGGAGTCCTAGTAGACTACAAGTTAAACATGAGTCAACAGTGTGATGCCGCAGCTAAAAAGGCCAATGTGATTATAG